CCCAAGAACCTGAGCATCCAGCAGACATCCAGGGCCCACCTGGGCAGCCAAGTCGGGTCCCTTCCCCACCTAATCCTGACACTCCCTCCAGAGGGTCTGCAGCCTCAGCAAACTACAACCCTGTGTGTATAAGATGCTGAGATTTTGTGGCCAAAGTCATCCCTTATCTTCTGGGACAGCTTGAAACTGGATCACCCCAGGGTCTGTATTCCTAGAACTGCAGGCTGGCAGGACCCCATGGCAATAGAAATGCAAATCCTCTCTGGAGGAACCTAGGCCTTAGGAAATCCTAGCGCTCTGGGGCTTGCCGGGTGGGCACTAGTGTGGTGGGTGAGAGAGGAAGAAATGGATCCCAAGCTCACCACATGCAAAAATCAATTCCAGGTGGATTAAAGGCTCGACTCTAGCCAGGTGTGGTGGCACACACCTGTAATACCAGCGACCTGGAAGGCTGAGGCAGGAGGATCATGAGTTCAAAGCCAGCCTCAGCAACTTATCAGACCCTGTCTCAAAATAAAAACACACTGGGGCTGGGGCTGTAGCTCAGTGGCAGAGTGTTGGCCTAGCATGTGTGAGGCACTGGGTTTGATCCTTAGCACCCCACAAAAATAAAGGCATGTTGTCCATCTACAACTATAAAAAAAAAAAGTTATTTTTTAATTGTAGTTGGACACAATACCTTTATTTTATTCGTTTATTTTTATGTGGTGCTGAGGATAGAACCCAGGGTCTTGTACATGCGAAGTGAGTGCTCTACCGCTGAGCCCCACCCCAGCCCACAAAAAAAAAAAAAAAATTAATAAAAAAAGTTAATGGGGCTGGGGCTGGGGCTCAGCGGTAGAGTGCTCACCTACCACATGCCGGACACTGGGTCCGATCCTCAGCACCACATAAAAATAAAATAAAAGCATTGTGATGAACTACAACTAAAACAAACCAAAAAAAGTTACAAAATAAAACATACAAAAAAAGGGCTGGAGGGGCTGTGGCTGTGGCTCAGTGGTAGAGCACTTTCCTGGTATGCGTGAGGCACTGGGTTCGATCCTGGCACCACATACAATAAACAAAGATATTATGTCCATCTACAACTACAAAAATATTTTTTTAAAAAAAAGGGCTGGGGATGTGGCTCAGTGATTAAACGCCCCTTTAAAAAAAAAAAAAAAAAAAACTCTGCGCAGTTTCCCCACTTAAAGTCACTCTTTTTTCTCTGTGCATAAGTATTTTATGGAGAGGTCATGAGATAATGCAAATACCTTGCTGGTACATTTCCATCCATACATTGTAGCATACCATTTGGCCATCCTTCCTTCTACATTCATTAATTGAAATCTTTAGGAAGGGGGGGAAGGTTCCCTTTTTTTCTCCTTATTTATACTAACGTAAACTTTTAGGTATTTTATTTTATGAATTATAATCCTTACTTATTTTGTTCTCAAGTTGTTCCAGACTAGGCCATTGGGAGCTTTTTCAAGTGGGTTCACATGACCTTTCAACAGGCCCCCATCATTAACCAAGTAATCAAAGTTAACATCATTACCACTGTGAGATACATCAATGTACTGCAATAGCAAGGTGGTCTTCTTGTCAAAATGCCTAACCTGAACTCAATCGTGAATGCACATCACACCACTTCAAATTGAGGTTTTTCTATAAAATAACTAGCCAGCAATCTTCAAAACTGCCAAAAATCTTGCAGGAAAAAGACTGAAAACCTATCCCAGGTTGGAAGAGATTCAGGAGACATAAGCAGCAAATGTAATGTGGATTCCTGGACTGGATCCTGGATCACAAAGACTTGTGGGGCAATGCACACAATTCAGTAAGACCTAGAGGTTAGTTCTATTTTATCTCCTGATTTGATAGTGGTTTTACAGTTAAGGTGTTAAAACATTTGTGGAAACTAGATGAAGGCTATGCAAGAATTATTTGTGCTATTTTTGTAAACCTGAAATTATATTAAAATGAAAAGTTTGCTTTAAATGTAACTATGAATAGTACTAATTTTACAAGACACACAGGGAAAAGATCACTTTATGATCTTTGGCTAGGTCAAGATCCTTAAGATCCAGAAGTATGAATCACAAAGGAAAAGGATAGGTTATGAATGATATCTGTTCAACAGATGATCTATAAACAAAGAAAAAAGAGAAGACCCAAACGTGCAGAAGACTTGCTTCACACTAGTGAATACAGCTTAGCATTCAGAAGATATAAGGAATTAAATCAGTAAGAAAGGTCAGTCTAAGAAACGGGCAACCAGGATTAGGAATTTCAAACAGGATTAGACACTATATCTTGTTAGTAGTCAGTAAACACGAATAAAACCTCTCAACAAAAGTAAAAAAGGAGGGGCTGGGCATGGTGGCGCTCCCCTGTAATCCCAGCAGCTTGGGAGGCTGAGGCAGGAGGATCGTGATTTCAAAGGCAGCCTCAGCAAAAGCGAGACACTAAGCAACTCAGTGAGACCCCATCTCTAAATAAAACACAAAATGGGGCCAGGATGTGGCTTAGTGGTTGAGTGCCCCTGAGTTCAATCCCTGGTAACCCCCCTCAAAAAAAAAAAAAAAAGTGAAAAAGGAGGCCAGTATCAAGCCTTGGCAACAGTATGGATCAAGTAGAATTTTTTTGTACACCAACAGGAGAGCATATATATTGGTTCCCCCACTTTGGAAAACATTTTGGCATTACTTAGCAAAATTAAATAGACCTATAACCTATGAGCCAGCAATTTGAGTCCTGGGCATATGCCCTGGAGAAGCTCTAGCACAACACCTGCCACAAGACCTGGCTGAGAATGCTATGACAGCACTGTCTGTAATGGCAAAAAGCCACAAACAGGGGGCTGGGGATGTGGCTCAGTGGTAGAACACCCCTGGGTTCAATCACCAGTACCATGAGGAAAAAAAAAAAAAAAGATCAGGAAGAAAATTTAGTGAACATGAAAGAATAATGTCTTTAACCACAATATTGTCAAAAACTCACAATATTCATTCAAGACTGAACTCCTTGGAGAAGAGAACACCGTCAAGGTTGAGAGAGGAAGCATTAGGCCCCAAACATGCAAGCAGAAAATCTGTCCCACAAACACCCACACCCCCAAAGGCAGCAGGAATGGCCTGGCCTGGGGGTTGCCTCAAACGTCGCACCCTGGAAAATTCTGACAGTTAACTGGTATCACCTCAACCATGAAGAAAACGCACTTTTTATATGCCTTATGGTCCTGGTAGAAAATCACTGCATGATTTTTTTTTTCTTTCAGTTAAATATTCCTGACCTAAATATGATGGGAGGGCCCACACAGTCTAAGCAACTGTCTCTAGCCCTGAGGGCACGTAGGGCATCACTAGAAAGGAAATCTTCTAAGGGCTGGAGCTATGGCTGAGAGGTAGAGTGCTGACCTAGCATGCGTGAGGCACTGGGTTCCATCCTCGGCACCACATAAAAAAATAAATAAATAAAGATATTGTGTCACCTATAACTAAAAAATATTTTTTTTTTAAAAAAGAAAGTAGAAGGCTGGGGATGTGGCTCAAGCGGTAGCGCGCTCGCCTGGCATGCATGCGGTCCGGGTTCGATCCTCAGTACCACATACAAACAAAGATGTTGTGTCCGCCAATAACTAAATAAATAAATATTTAAAAAAAAAAAAAAAAAGAAAGTAGACATTACCAAAAAAACAGGGTCTAAAACATAAGCAACAAAAGTGCACAACAACAGACATCATTGGTTAACACAAAACCGCACAGATCTCAGATGTCACGGAGCGGGAGAAGTCACGTCTCAGGTGGTCAGAAGCAGCTCCCTGGTGTTTCAAGT